GCAGGCAGGCAGGCAGGCAGGCAGGTAGGCAAGCAGGCAGGCAGGCTTGAGGAATTCTAATTTCTCTCCTTTTTCCAAATCTCCCCCAAATTAAAGCCCAGAGAAAGTATAGCTATGTGGGTTCCCAGTGGGAGCTCTGAAGACTACGAACAGCGAGGGCTTACGTACGTCTCGTAGAGGCTTTGCCCTCTCAGGAACACCTTGACTTCCTTGTTGAGAGGGAAGGTCCCATCATCCTTGCGGAAGCGATAGAGCAGCTTAGCGTCCTTGTAGTCCAAATGTTCATCGCACACTGAAAGAAGTTTGAGACACATCTCAGCACCTTCCAAACTTTGATATACAAGGTAGACTTTCACCTTCCGCAAATGCAGGCTGGCATCCAACAGAGATAAAAATGCAAGATTACATTGATTTCCCCCCCCCCTTGTTTTATTTCCAATTCAGGAAGGGCTCCAACCATTTATAATCAAACATCACAAACTGCTACGTGTGACTCCACTAATGATCAAAAGCTTGCTGAAAACCTGGGTCAGCTTTTAGTTTGAGACAAGCAGAAACAAGTGACAGACAGAAGTTACATAAAATCAAAACTGCCAAAGAGAATGAAGTCCTTTTAGATCACAACTCCCATAATCCCCTGCCCTTATGGCCAGAGATTGGGGTGATGCAAGCCAGGGGCCAGAACATTTGGAAGACATTTGTTAGAAAAAGAACACACTTTTTATTAATGATAGTTCTAATCCACCCAATAATTAAGGTTCTCCACCTGAATAATGTATTACCTTAAAATGTTTTTTAAAAAGCAGATAAAAGCAATGAACCAGTATAACAATTTTAAAAAACCAGAGCAAACAACATAAGAAATGTGCTGTTTCCCAGTGTAGAAGAGATGCTTAAAATCAAATGGAACATAAAACTACAGAAATGCCTGGGGTTTAAATGCTTTCACTTAAAGGTGTGATGTTGATTATGAAGATGAAGATGATGATGATGATATTGAAGTGGGTTAAGCCTAATTTAATAGAACCTGCAGCAACAGCACTACTGTGCAACACATCTACACATGGAAAAATGAATTTTACCTAGCATGCAGATCCTAGTCCCATAATTTAATTCTGCATATTATTAAAATGTTACAGCTGGTGATAGCCCATAGCTGATCCTGAAAGCTTAATCTTTCAAAAGCTTAATTGGACCCAGTTACTACTTGGAGGGGAGGCCATTAGGAGATTCCAGGCTAGAGGGGAAGTCAGGAAAAAAAAAAACCTGGAAAAATGCAAGAGGTGCACTTTCTGGGTCCTGAAAGATGACACTGTTTGATTGAAGGGACCTGGAGCATGCCAACCCTGTTGGCTTGTGCTGGCTGGGCAGAAACCACAAGAGGTAGATAACCATGCCCAGTGGTGTATAGGGAGAGAGTCTATGGTGGTGTAGTATAGTGGTTAAGGCACCAGGCTAGAAACTGGGAGTCCATGGGTTCTAGTCCTGCCTTTAGACATGAAGCCAGCAGGATGACCTTGGGCCAGTCCCTCTCTCTCAGCCCTCGGAAGGAGGAGGCCATAGCAAACCACTTCTGAAAAACCTTGGCAAAAAAAAAAACTTCTGGGGCTAATCCAGGCAGTTGCCAGGAGTCAAAAACTGACTCAGAAGCACATGCTCACGCGTGCACACACACACACACACAGACACCTTATATAGGGTGGTGGTCAAGGTGATGACCATCATCTTGAATCACACCTGGAAGCATCCTGGCAACCAGTGTAGCTCACAAAGTTCACGAAGCAGAAGTGTCATGTCAGCATATCCTGAGGCCTGCCCATCACTGCCCGCACTGTTGCCTTCTGGACCAGTTGAAGCTTCTGAGTGGTCTTCAAGGGCAGCCCCAGGTAGAGCGTATGGCAGCAATCAAGCCATGAGGCGATTAGGGTGTGAATGACTGTCCAGAGTCAAATGAAGCCTATAGGAAGATTACTTTCTTCTCACCGATCAGTTCAAAAGGCGGTTTCTTCCTTTGGGCAATGAAAAGAACAGGACTGCAGGGATGCTGAAGAAAGACAAGCACAGCCCAAAACGATACCCAGGATTGTCTGTTTTACCGAGGATTATCCAGGCTGAAAGACAGCTTGGAAAATCAGCCCCCAAAGTCCTCCTCCTTGATAGGGCTGTGCTCATTAAGGAAAAGTCTTACGATTCTTTTCCTCTTGCTGGTGGAAAATATGTACCAGCTTGGGGAGGTGGGGTTGGGAGTCAGATCTAAGTGTTAATCTTTAACCGCAAACTAATTGCAGTTCCATTAGAGCACCATAACAGCATTTCATTCAATTCGAGGTACAGCTGCAGCAGACGGTAGGAAACTTGGTGTTTACCAAGCTGGGTAATTCAGGCAGAATCCAAAGATCTCCAAACATTCTTCTTTTGTAGAACAGGTGGCCCATATTGAATCACCCCCACTGCTCTTCTTACCTACCACCTCACTATTAAATGGAAGAGTGTGCAATACATTCACGTCAGCGCTTAGCAGAAATATCTTGAACACCTGTGATTTTTCACTCCTTGGACATGTACAAGATTATTTTTCCTTATCATTAGGGGTTCCAATAGACTGTAGAATATTCATACCAGAATCTGATGAAAGAATAATTGTGATAAAGGCAACTAGAGGCTTTATAACAGGCAAAAGTGATTCAGATGTCGCTCTGCCAGATACAACTTTGAAAATACACCAATTTGTTTTTTTTTTTAAAAAAAAACTGCATCAAAGACATTTACACTGAAAAGGACATCAGCAAATTTTGTGTTCAGGAGAGATGATCATGATTGGGAATCCTACTTAAATTGATCCTGCAAAGTTCAAAGCAACTGATCTAATTCTTTACCTGTCTTCCTTCCTTCCTTCCTTCCTTCCTTCCTTCCTTCC